GGAGGTGGTGGCGGAGCAACGGGAGGAATAGGGAAGGGTCTGAAGGCCCGGCCTGGTTGTGCCCTGCTGCAGGTTTCACCGTCATCGAGGGGTTGAAAGAGCGAGACCTTGTTGCTTCTCCTCCTCGGGCTGCTGGTTCGCGTGCTCGGGGGCAGCTGGCAGTGGCAGTGAGAGATCACTCGTCGACTGCGCTGCTAACTCACCGGAAGGAGTTGGGACCTCGGTCTGGATACTCTGCTGAGAGAACATGAGAGAAGAGGAGGCAGGAGGAGGAGGCAGGAGGAGGTTCAAGGTTGTAGGCATCACCTCAGGAGTTGGACTTGCGCTCGTTTCCTGTGATAAGCAACCAGTCAGGAACGACTTCAACGTTCCGACGAGGAGGGAGAGGAGAGGAACTGTGGAAGGAGGATGAGACCGGGAAGGGGCAGCATCCACTGGAGTTGAGGAGGGAGGAGGGAAGGTGAAGTTGGCGAGGTGGAGGAGGGAGCGACGAGGCTGGATGATGGAGGGGGGAGGGAGAGGAAAGTCTCGCAGAGCCGACTTGCCTGAGCCAAGGAAGGGATGCACGAGGACAAGAGCAACCCAACGAGGAGGAGCCTGACGAGCCTCGAAGAGCAGCGCGACATGTCGGCCGGTTCTGAACCTCGGCAAACAAGAGGCTGGGACAAGCAGAGTCAGATACGTCAGGGTTCGAGAAAGAGAAGATGAGTCTTGCTGTATGAATGTTGAAGGGGGGGCTCAAAAGAAGAGGGAGAGGATAACAAGAGAGGTGGGGAGGGGTTAAGAGGCAGTATGCCGATGGTAACAAGAGGAAGACGAGGAGCAGCGATTATGAAGGCGAAGCAGAGGGGATCGATACGACAGGGATGCGAGTCTAGGAAGAAAGGAAGAGGAGAAGGCGAAGATAAAGTTGGAAGGAAGCAGCAGCAAAAACAGTATGAGAAATAAGAGCAGACAAAATGTAAGCAGAAGGAGCATGATCAGCAAGATCCGGAGCAAAGCGCAGTCGTGGCTGCATCAGGTGCACAACAGATGCATGGCAGGATCAGGAGCAGGAGTGGATGGAAACCGCAAACAGCAGGAGCAGGAGGATAAGCAGGAGGAGCAGGAGGAGCAGGAGGAGCAGGAGGAGCAGGAGCAGAAAGAGCAGGAGGAGCAGGAGGAGCAGGAGGAGCAGGAGGAGCAGGAGGAGCAGGAGGAGCAGGAGGAGCAGGAGGAG